ATCTGGGTGTAAGTAAAATCAAACACACATACCTTTCAGTGAACAACCTTCTGAGAAATTATAAAAACAAAAGCATCCATGCCCAAAAATGTACATGGGGCCAGTCGCAGTGGCTCACGCCTGTAATCCCAAAACTTTGGGAGGCCAAGATGGGTGGATCACAAGGTCAGGAGTTCAAGACCAGCCTGGCCAACATGGTGAAACCCCATCTCTTAAAAAAAAAAAAAAGTACATGGATGTTTATTGAAACATATTCTAGAGGCCAGGTGTGGTGGCTCACACCTGTAATCCCAGCACTTTAGGAGGCTGAGGTAAGCAGATACTTGATGTCAGGAGTTTGTGGCTGGCCTGGCCAATGTGGTGAGACCCATCTCTACTCAAAATACAAAAATTAGTGGGGCATGGGGTTATGTGCCTGTAGTCCTAGCTACTCAGGAGGCTGAGGCAGGAGAATTGCTTTAACCCAGGAGCTGGAGGTTGCAGTGAGCCGAGATTGCACCACTGCACTCCAGCCTGGGTGACAGAGCAAGACTGTCTCAAACTGAAAAAAACTGGAAATCTAAATGTTAATCAGTAAGTAAATGGTTGAATAAATTGTGGTGCAAAGATGTAATATAGAATATTCTCTCACCATTAAAAATAATGTTAGATGTGTATTGGCCTGAGAAGAGGTTGGTGAGGAAAAAAAATTACAAAGTTAAAGTTATACATATATTGTTTAGAATTTTTTAAACATATATGTATGAACTAAGAAATGTGTGTGGAAAAAATACACAAAACTTTTAATATTGGGAAAGGTAAGAAGGGAGTAATATATTTCCAAGCTTATTTAAACCTCACTCAGTCAAGTAATACCAAAGATAGTTTTGTTGAATGTGTGTACATGGGAAAAATAGCTTTATTTAAAATCAACTGGTACTTCATGACTTTGGGAGCTGCTCTTTTGAGTAAAGTGATCCTGTGTCAGGAGTACTCCTCTTTGAATTGTTGAGATATTTTTGGTGAATGTATTTAAGCTGAATGTTAAAATCTTACCCTTTGGAGCAGGAGTACCCAACCCATGGGCCACACTGTAATTCAGTACTTTAGGAGGCTGTGGCAAGTGGTGAGTGTCAGGCAAAGCTTCATCTGTAATTACAACTGCTCCCCATTTGTTTGCATTACCACCTGAACTCTGCCTCCTGTCAGATCAGTGGAGGCATTAGATTCTCATAGGAGTGGGAACCCTGTTGTGAACTGTTCATGCAAGGGATCTAGGTTGTGCACTCGTTATGAGAGTGATGCCTGATGATCTGTCACTGTCTCCCATCACCCCAAGATGGGACCATCTACTTGTAGGAAAACAAGCTCAAGACTCTCACTGATTTTATGTTATGGTGAGTTGTATAATTATTTCATTATATATTACAATTTAATAAAAACTATACAATAAATTAGCTTGAATCATCCCAAAACCATCCACACTCCCCAACCCCCGCCCGGGTCCATGGAATAATTGTTTTCCCATGAAACCATTCCCTGGTGCCAGAAATATTGGGGATTCCTGCTTTGAAGTGCCTGGGAAAAGTTGATCATAGATTATTTGAAAGTGCCTATTAGTATTTTAGAAATGTATATAGATTTTAGTACAGTTACTTTCAAAGCTGAATCTGTTTGAGCTTTTCAAGATTTTTTTCCTTTCCACTTGCCTATCTCTACATGTATATGGAGCTTCACTATTAGCTTCATATACATGTACCATATATATGTATATGCTAATATTCACTATTAGCTCCATATATGTATACGGAGCTAGTAGTGAAGAGTGTCACATTGTTTCCCAGGAGTTCTTGGAACAAGAACACTTTAAAGTTCTCCCACTGCAAATACAGATTAGTAATAAAAACAATTGGTGTGACAACACATTTCACTCCACAGTGGAAAAACAAATGCTTTATTCATGGACAATTATCTGTTCAATGTACAGGTATGACCTATATAACAGAACTCAGCCAGTATGATGTATCAGCTCTGGACATATGTTAAATAAGTTTTTAAAATCCTTTGGAATCTACTCCCTAGCATCATTTCTGAAATTGCAGCATACTTACTTTTTGAAGTCATACCATTTTTTTTAGTTTATTCTGTACACGAGCAGTGATAATTCCTTAAAATAGTATCTGGTGACCTGTATTTGGGTTGTTTCATTCTGTGTTTTGCAGGAAATGCATCAGGTTACTGTGGCCATTCAGACATGAAGATAACTAAGCAAGCTATAATACTTGAAATGTATTTTAAGATCTCATAGGGCTTTTCCTAATGAGAAGCTTTATGGGGCAGTAGGGAATGCCCCATTTGGAGTTTATGTTAGTGAAACTTCATATGTAGATGAATGGAGCCCCACAAATGCGGCATTTCTTCTGAGAATGTAGCTCCACAAGAAACCGCTTAGCAAATGAAGGGAGGGCTAGACTTCAGCCCAACACATCCCCTTCATAAGTTATATAAGCATTCACCATGACCCTGTACCTCATAGTCAGAGGTCTAAGATTCTTATACAGTAATGACAATCACCTACATTTCGACTGTTTCACAAACCTTTTACAGAAGAAAAAGCACAAATCACTCAGATATCATACCTACGCATATTAAATGGCAGAGAAGGCAGCAACCTTTAAATTACATATAATTTGGGAAATAAACATTGGAGATTCCTAGATTCCACACTGTAGCAGAAAATGATTGGAAAAGGGGTACATAGAAGAGTGCAAAAGGATTCTACTGGTAGTGACACAACATGAACTGGAGTTTAGAAGGCAAGAGAGTCATTCTGAATGGTGAAATGAAACAAATAACTGGCTACTGAAAAACAGAGTTGAAAATTGTATGTGATTAGATGTGAACATTTTGGGAAATTAGTTCTGAAAGAGGAGGGCATCTTCAGAGGAACTGATGTCCTTTGGAGGCTTATTGGTGAAGGGAAAAAAGGAAGTAAATGAATGTAAGTGTCCTTTATTTAACAAGATCAAAGAATCCAAAAACATCCTCCACAAAGGTGTATGATTCTTTTTTGAGGAAATCACGATTCACTTTACAAATAAAGCACTATGCTCCTGAATGAAAAAAACAGCCTCCCATATTCTCTCCTACACTTGTCCATAGATTGTTTACCATTTCAACGTGAAGAGTTTACACCACATGTGAAAACCATGCATATTTACTCAAAACATTTTTTTGAACATACAAAACCACTCTAGGTCGGGTGCAGTGGCCAGTTCCTGTAATCTCAGCACTGGGAGGCCCAGGCAGGAGGATTGCTTGGGCCTAGGAGTTCAAGATCGGCCTGAGCAACGTAGGGAGACCGCCATCTCTACAGATAATTTAAAAATTAGCCAGGCATGGTAGGACATTACTGTGGTCCCAGCTACTTAGGAGGTTGAGGCAGGAGGATTGCCTGAACTGGGAAGGTTGAGGCTACAGTGAGCAGTGATCACACCACTGCATACCAGCCTGGGTCCAGAGTGAAACCAAGTCTCAAAAAAAAAGTGGTGGGGAGAAGGGGTGGGTGTGGTGGCTCATGCCTGTAATTGCAGCACTTTGGGAAGTCAAAGTGGGAGGACTGCTTAAGTCCAGAAGTTCAAGACTAGCTTGGGAGACATGGTGAAACCCCCTCTACAAAAAAACATATAGAAAATTAGCCAGCCATGATGTCACATGCCTGTAGTCCCAGCTACTCATGTGACTGAGATAAGAGGATCACCTGAGCCTGGGGAGGTCAAGGCTGCAGTGATCCATGATTGTGTCACTGCACTCCAGCCTGGGTGACAGAGTGAGACCCTATCTCAAAAATAAAAATATAAATAATAAAACCAATCTTCAGAATAATTTCATGAAACAGAGGAAAGCAGTAATTCAAAACATTGTAACTTATTACTAGAACAACAGGGTTTCACTCTTACCCAAGCTGTATTTATAGGACCTGCATTTACTCAGGAATGAACACAGCAAAATTATCTCATAAATCAAGGCTAAATTAGAAATGGCCCAAGGGAGAAGAGATATGACTGAAAGCACATACTAAACAGAGAGGATAAAAATTAAATGAGCCAAAAAATGAAGTAAAAAGTTGTTATAGAGAAAACGATAGATCTAAAACACAGGAAGGCAGAGCTCTGGGTATAGAGCCACAAGTTGCAAGCCCAGAGAGCAGAGCTTTGAATCACAGGGTATTCTCAGGCCTTGAAGCTGAATGGAATTTCCTCTGCTGTACTTTGAAATTTTGTGGGACAATGTCGGCACTCTATCAAAAATTACTGGACAGGAACAAAAGCTGAAAAATGACTCATATGAGAGAAATATCAGTCAATAGATATAGAAAACATGGCAGACTAGAAGTTCCTAGCACTTGTCTCTCTCACAAGGACAACCAGAACAATGAAAACTACATTTTAGTCTGGGCATGGTGGCTCATCCCTGTAATCCCAGTGCTTTGGGAGAATGAAGCAAAAGGATCACTTGAAGCCAGGAGTTTGAGACCAAACTAGGCAACGTAGAAAGACCTCATCTCTGCAAAAAGTTATCTAAAAATTGGCCCAACATGGTGGTGCATTCCTGTAGTCCTAGCTTCTAGGGAGGCTGAGATAGGAGTATTCCTTGAGCCCAGGAGTTTGAGGTGTATTATAGTGAGTTGTGATTGCACCACTATGCTCCAGCCTGAACAGAGTGAGACCCTGTCTCAAAACAAAACACTACATTTTAACAACAACAAACAAAAATAAAACAGAGGGGAGTGCCAGAGTGTCTCAGAGGAGTAACATAAATCTGGACGGGAACAGGAACTCAGATGTCCACATAGAAAACACTGGGCCTCTACCACCCCATCCCCCAACTAGGATTAGCTGAAAACTAATCTTCTTTCAATAACGAGGTAAGAATGAGGATTGCACCAACTCCCGTCAATACATTGGATGCAAAAAAAAAAAAAAAAAAAAAAAGGCAGATAGGAGGCAGGACTAAATCACAGCTCCCACTCAGAGCAGTGGGAGGAGACTCACACTGTGAACTCTTGCTCCAAGAACTACTGCAGGAATATACCAGGAAAGCTGAGCAAATCCACAGACCCTTTGAAGGAAGTGGATTGCTCCTGCAGGACCCAGAAGACAGCCCAAATACTGTGAGTGCCCCAACTGTGAAAGTGGGAAAGGGGAGATTATCTGCCCCTGAACACACACCCGCACTGGGGAACCTGAAGGTCCAGATCACTGGAAAAGGATTTTACCTTACCTGGAGCTGAGACAGTTTAGAAAGCCACGCAAAATGCCAGGGTAGAAGAAGGAGCAGGAAAATCTCTGTGGGCTCTCTGGGTCCCCAGTGAAGCCATTTCTGACTTGTCTTACAGGGGTCCTTGGGGAGGGCTGCCAGAGGAACAGGGAAAAGACCACAGAGAGAAGGAAACTTCCAGGTGAACTATGTAACAATTCCAACTGATCGCAATGTCTCCTGGCCAGAACTCAGGGAATGGTGCGAATCTGGTGGGCATACTCAATAGGTGGGGTGGTGTGAAAGCCCTGCTTGCTTCCTCAGCCAGGAGGCTGGTAGCCTGGGGCAAGTTCTCAGCCTTGCTCACCCACTGCCTGAAAAACTGGGTGCTGTTGGTTGGGGGGCAGGGTGAGAGTAAAACCGGCCTTTGGAGTTACATGGGAACTGGGTTAGGTCTGCAACTGCCAGCTTTCCTGCACTTCCTTGACAACCTGCATAACATAGCAAAGGGAGCTATATAACTGGGAACATAACTACATCGACCTGGGAACCACACCCACATCCCTGACAGCAAGCCCTGCCCAAGGAGAATCTGAGCTCAGCTATGCCTAACCCTGCCTCTACGTGATGGTCCTTCCCTACCCAACCTGATAGCTGAAAACAAAGGTTATATCCTCCTGGGAGTTCTAGGGCCCTGCCCACTGATTGATCCTCCTCTATGCTACCACAGGTGATGCTTTCTTGAAAGCAAAACCTCCTGGTAAGAGACAAACCAGCACAAAACTAGTGCATTTAACAACTACAACTAAGGACACTCGGAGTCCATTTCACTTCCCCACCACCTCCACAAAAGTAGGTACTGGTATCCATGGCTGAGGGACCTAAAGATGATTCATAACATAGAACTCTATGCAGACATCCCCCAGTACAAGCCCAGAGCCAGGCAGCCTGCTGGATGACTAGATCCAGAAGAAAAATTGCAATCACTACAGTTTGGCTCTCAGGAAGCCACATCCCTAGGAAAAAGGGGAGAGTACTACATCAAGGGAGCACTCCGTGGGACAAAAGAACTTGAATAGCAGCCCTGAACCCCAGATCTTCCCTCTGACATAGCCTATCCAAATAAGAAGGAACCAGAAAAACAATGCTGGTAATATGACAAAATGTAGTTCTTTAAGACCACCTAAAAATCACACTGGCTCACCAGCAATGGATCTAAACCAAGACAAAAATCCCTGAATTGCCAGAAAAAGAATTCAGAAGGTCAATTATTAAGCTATTCAAGGAGGCACCAGAGAAAGGTGAAGTCCAACTTAAGGAGATCAAAAAAAGACACAAAATATGAGGGGAGAAATAAATATATATAATTATGTGTGAATTAAAAACAATAAAAGCAAAACAAAGACTCAGAAATGACACATAGTGGAATTAGTAGAAAAGGGCTATAAAACAGCTGTTATAAATATGCACAAGAGCTGAGGAAAAACATTAACATAATAAAAGCAGATAGTAGAAAGAACTATAGTAAACTTTTAGAGATGAAAAATATAATATTTGAAATAAAAATTCACTGGACAGGCTTAAAACTATAACACTTTGGAAGAAAAGATTGGAGAATTTAAAGACATGGCAACTGAAGCTATTCAAGAGAAATCAAACATAGAAAAAAATTTGAAAAAAATACAACAGAACACAGAGCACTGATCAATTAATATGCTATAATATCAAGTGGTATGATACATCTACTTAAGAGTCCAGGAGAATTAAAACAAGAGGAAGAAAAAATACGTTAAAAAAATACCTTTAAAATTTTCCAAATTTGATGAAAACTGTCAACCTGAAGACACAGGAAACTCAAAAACCCATAGTTGAAACAAGGTCTGGCTCTATTGCCCAGGCTGGAGTATAGTGACATGATCTCAGCTCACTGCAACCTCCATCACCCAGGCTCAAGTAATCCTCCCACCTCCCTCCTGAGTAGCTGGCACTACAGGCACACACCATAATGTGAGCCTGGCTATTCTTTCGTATTTTTAGTAGAGATGGGGCCTTGCCAGTTGCCCAGGTTGATCTTGAACTCTTGTGCTCAAGCAGTCTGCCCACTTCAGCCTCCCAAAGTGCTGAGATTACAGGTGTAAGCCACCATGCCTGGTCTCCATAACTGGATTAACACACATACTGCCTTGATGCATCACAATAAAATTGCTGAAAATCAGTGATGAGAAAATGATAAATGTAGCCAGAGAAAGCAATATATTATGCAAAGAAAACCAATATAAACCAGTCTTTTCTCAGAAACTACACAAGTCAGGAGATAATGGAACAATACCTTAAAAGTGCTGAGGAACAGAAGACTTAAAGTATTCCTACTCATTGTCTTCAAATATCAGAATGGAGAACTACTTGTCAAAGGACAACCAAGTCCCTATATGTCTCCTCTGGACAGCACGGGTGAAATCTTCTAAAACACAGCAATTGTCAAAACCTCCTCACCATGACAGCAAGCAAGGAGGAAGGACCCTGAAGACTCTCAATGGCCCTTTTCAGCAGGAAGTAGCTACAGAGGATGATGTCTGCCCCATCTCTCAAAATATTTCTGGGTCCCAACCACTTGAGGGAGAATGTAAGAGGAGTAGACAGTCAGATATGAGCAGGCACAAGGGGGAGGTATCCATGTTGGAAAGAATCCCCCAGAACACCTCTTTGGATGCTCAGTACTCTATCTTCAAACTGTCAGAATGTTGTTAACTAGATTATGATAAGGAAAATAGAGGCAAAGTGAAATTCCTGAGAGCTGATCAGGCACAATGAGTACAAAATTGACTGCTATACCTTCCCAGGGTGGTGGTATTATGCAATGCCACCATTAGGTAGGATTCATGTTGATTAATGTTTCCCATGCATGTGCATTAAGCACAGTAAGGGAGGATCCCCCGAACTTTGGTGAGAACTGGGCAAAGAAATAACTGAGGCAATAGTAGATAACAATGCAGAATGTCATGGGGATGTTTCCAGGAGGGTCAGCCCCCTCCTCTCTTGGAGTGTATTTGTACTTTTCCAATAAAAAGTTCTCACCTTTAAAAAAAAAAAAAGTGCTGAGGAAACAACAAAGACAAAAAATCAATATCCAGCAAAAATATCCTTCAAACATGAGGGCAAAACAAAGCCCTTTTAGACAAAAGAAACTAGTGAATTTGCAATTTGTTGCCAATGCCTTTGAACTACAAGAAATAAAAAAGGATTTTTTTTTAAGATTCAACGCTATTGTGTTGAATGTCAAACTACCAATGACGTTTTTCACAAAACTAGAAAAAAACTATTTTAAAATATTTTTGGTTCATGCAGAACCAAAAAAGAGCCCAAATAATCATGGAAATCCTAAGCAAAAAAAAAAAAAAAAAAAAAAAAAAAAACTGGAGGCATTATATTACCTGACTTCAAACTATACTACAGGGCTACAGTAACCAAAACAGGGGAAAGGACTTCCTATCAATAAATGGTGCTGGGATAACTGGCGAGCCATATGAAGAAGATTGAAGCTGGACCCCTTCCTTATACCATATACAAAAATTAACTCAAGATGGAAGACTTACATGTAAAAACCAAAACTGTAAAAACCCAGAAGACAACCTAGGCAATACCATCCTGGATATATGAATGGGCAAATATTTTATGACAAGGACACCAAAAGCAATTGCGACAAAAGCAAATATTAACAACAGGGATCTAATTAAACTTAAGAGCTTTTGCAGAGCTAAAGAAACTATCAACAGAGCAAACAGACAACCAACCTATAGAATGGCAGAAAATATTTGCAAACTATGCATCTCACAAAGGTCTAATATCCAGCATCTATAAGGAACTTCAACAGATTTACAAGAGAAAGACAACCCCATTACAAAGTGAGCAAAGGATATGAATAGACACTTTGCAAAAGAAGACATACATGAAGCCAACAAGCATATGAGAAAAGCTCAATATCACTGATCATTTGAGAAATGCAAATCAAAACCACAATGAGATACCATCATATTTTTTACTTTATTAAAAAGTCAAAAAACATGCCGGCATTGTTTCAGAGAAAAAAAACACTTATACACTGTTGGTAGAAGTGTAAATTAGTTCAACACATTGTGGAAAGAAAGCAGTATGGTGATTCCTCAAAGAGGTGAAAACAGAGCCACCATTTGACCAAGCAATCCTATTATGGGTATATACCCAGAGATATATAAATCATTCTACCATAAAGACACATGCACGCATATTCACAGAATGTGAATTATTCACACAGCAGCATTACTCACAATAATAAAGACTTTATTATTATTATTGTCTTTAGTATTATTAATACTGTCTTTATTATTGTGAGTAATGGTGCTGTGTGAATAATTCACATTCTGATGGGCACATTCTAAATGCCCATCAGTGACAGACTGAATAAAAAAAACGTATATATATGCCATAGAATATGATGCAGTCATAAGAAAGAATGAGTTTGGCTGGGTGCAGTGGCTCACGCCTGTAATCCCAGCACTTTGGAAGACTGAGGCAGGCATCCAAATCAGGAGGACCTCCTGATCAGGAGGTCAGGAGATCGAGACCATCCTGGCTAACACGGTAAAAACCTATCTCTACTAAAAATACAAAAAAATTAGCCAGATGTGGTGGCGTGTACCTGTAGTTCTGGCTAGTCAGGAGGCTCAGGCAGGAGAATTGCTTGAACCTGGGAGGCAGAAGTTGCAGTGAGCAGAAATCATGCCAGAGTGAGACTTCTAAAAAAAAAAGGAGAGAGAGAATGAGATCGTGTCTTTTGCAGGAACATGAATGGAGGAGAAGGCTATTATCCTTAGCAAACTAATGCAGGAACAGAAAACCAAATACTGCATGTTCTCACTTGTAAGTGGTAACTAAATG